TGCTGCAAGGGTGCTAGTGAAGGGTGCTGCTGCACGCTGCAGGGTGCAGCTGTTAGAGTGGCGTGTCCGCTCTGGAGCTGGCCGGCTGGCGGTGCCGCTGCGGGGTTCTGCTTCAAAGTGCTGCAGTTAAAGTGATGTGCGCGCTTTGGAGTTGGCATGTTGGTGCCATTGCAGGATTTCTCAGAAGCAGCAGGAGGCGTAGTGTAGCCCGTGGGGAATGGTTGCAAAGAAAAAAAAATTCTCACAAAACACAAGTTCTGATCTTGCAAATGTACCAAGGTTCAGAATTGGGAAGTTTGAGGTATGATTCGGGTATGATTCGGGCATGATTCGTGGTATGGTTCGGAAACCCATTTTTTTTGAATTCAGGAAGCTTTGTTTTGCTTGAGTCTCTTTTTCCCACCGTCTACCTACCACGATTGCTACTTAATGGCTGCAATGGCTCGACCTGCCAGAAGACCTTGGACAGGACCTGAACATGAAGAATATGAAGATCTAAATTTTGCACATCTATGATTTATACCCGCCGCCCTGCCGGCGTCCCTTCTGGATGTTCTTCCCTTTAGCTCAGCTACGCTTAGGCTAATGTTCCTCTTCGACGGATTTTTGGTTTGGTTGCCAGCCAGCCAGCCAGCCAGCCAGCCACAGCCGGAGTCATCCTCCTCATCAGCCTCATCAGCCTCATCAGATAACACAGCAAGTAGCCAGCCACGCAGCCAGCCAGCCGCCACTAGCCAGCCGTATAGCCAGCCACCCAACCAGCAGCAGCAACTGCCATAGCCACCTAGCCAGCCACACAGCCAGCCGCCACTAGCCAGTAGCCAGCCAGCCAGCCAGCCAGCCAGCCAGAGCCAGCCAGCTTAGGGATAATGATGAGACTCCGTGCGCGTGGAGAAGATTCACCACTCATGTCGTGCAGGTATGCGAAGGTAGCCAGGGATCATCGGATCTGGCCAACACTGGTCAATTAGCGTGTCAGGTCCATTAAAACTAGTGAGGCCAATGCAATCCCAAACATTCCCAAAAGAAACATTCATAATCGTGTTTTTTTGGGGTATGATTCGGGGTATGATTCCGGGGGTATGATTCGCACAACTCGAACATCCTGCCTTTACTTAAATCTGCGCACGTTAAAAAAAGACACAGCCATATGATATACCCTACACATTGTTGTCTTGTGCCAGTGAAGTGAGCAAACTCAATACTGGCCTTGAAGCACTTGGGTTCTTCCTCGAACTCCGACCCCGAAGGCTCGACATAAAAACCGCGAAAAGAAAAGAAAATAATATGCAATGACCAACAGAATCAATCAATCTTTCCAGTAAGGAACTGCATAAGAATCAGCACGGCCCCCAGCTGCGGTTTCATTTGCGGGTTGGGTCTAAACTGCGCAAAAGCATCACCGCAAGTGGCTGGCTCAGTCCGGCTGGTTCCCCCACGATGTGGCCGGTCAAGGATGAGGACAGGTACTGGAGTGTGCTACCTGAAATGAAGCCAACGAAACGGGGAAAGTGTCCCAAATATGTTAGCATCTTTACGTTTCTACGTCTAGGTGTCCATTGCTTACCCATCATAGTGCATTACCTGTTGTAACTAACAGTACCTGAATCCCCTGGTGGGGGGCCGTCTGCAGTCACCGGCTGGCCGGGCGACCGAATCACCTGAAGAGTTTGTATCTTCCTACGCTGCCTCTCGACGCTGATATCACAGCCATGGAATCAGAAGATTAGCCTATAGGGCCTCACGTCTTTCTACCACCCTGCGTATCGTTGCGTGAACATGTGACATCATGTGACTCATGGTCAAGTGACCGGTTCGCTCCGGCTCATTGCAAGGTAGGTTGATCTTCAGGTAAACATACCCCACCAAGGTACGAGCGCGCCAAACACGTCGGCTCCCTTGATTGTGGGTGATTGATGTGACCCCAGCTTAAAAGTTCTAGGGGGCATCGCGTGGTTTTGGGTTCCCAAACTTACCAAGGCAAACGAAGGCATGTGAGCCTTGGATCCAGGCGCGGTCGTGATATTGTTCATCATGAGATGAATTGACATGATGGACCCTTCGTTTTAGATCGCTCTAGATGGGTTTAAACGGTGAGGAGTGTGCCACCAAAAAATTCGCCCGCACTATGGGAACCTTGTTGGCAGCCATGCTACAAAATGAATGATGCCTCCTTGGGAGGTGCGTTGGCCTCTTTGTCTGTGGGGGCCTGAAGCTATTTCTTAAACACGCCATAATTGGCAGAAACATGCGGAAACTATTTCCTAAATTCCGTTAAATAAATCCAAATTTGATATTTTTAGAAAAATATCAAGAAACATAAAGTAATATTGAATTAAAAACGTAATTTAGTCAGTCCTTGTAGGGATTGGTTTGAACCGGTTTGAAACAGTTTTGGGCTATTTGCTAATTAGCCAATATTCAATATATATTTGAAACTATTTGAAATGAACTATTCGGGATTTTTTGCCAGAGTGAAGTAGCAAATAGTAGGAAACAGATTGGAACGGTTTCGGACTATTACTTAGAAAGGAGCGGGAACCGGTTTGAAACGGCTTCTATGATGCCCTTTGTCTGCTTATGTTGAAAATCATAAAAGAACACATGTTTTGCCAAATGTGAATATATCTTAGCATGACGTGACAAATCTAGACATAGATAATAATATAACACAAGAACTCGACAGATTGATAAGTAAAAAAGTATATGATTCTGGTAGGCCCGACAGACACCAGTCCTGACTTTTGGGGTGAAGACTCGGCTCTTGCAAAGTTGCCAAAACCTCTGAACTTTCCGTTTGGACTTGAGAGACTCTCCCTGACTTGGGTACCCTTTGAAGTGTCATAATGTAATGCCAATGTGGCAAAACCCGGCTCACAACATCCCCAAAGTCACCCGCAAAGGCTATCAGCCACTCATTCGAATCAGCAAACTCGGTTGGTTGAAGTCAGAATCCATTTGGGTCTTGTTTGGGGAACACATTGTTTTTTTTTCGGTCGAGCATATGGGCTCCCGACGGACAAATTGTAAAAACTGAGACTGTACAAACCGACACCACACCCTTCCAATAAAAAGAACTCCTCAAATAAATTCACAATGCCGTCCACACCTGCACTTATGAAATTACCACGAGAGTACCTTGAGAGGCCAGTGGCCTGGGACTTGCCCCCTTTAGAAAGGGCCAATCCGTTGTGTAGCCCATTGTTTGACTCGATTCATGTGTTCAAGATCTGAAGGGTCAAAAAACTGATCGTGGCCATACATGTGCTGGAAGGCGTCTTTATATGTTTCAGTTAGCCAATCTAGTCTGGGTCTACCTGGCCGCCTTTTGTCTATCGAACGGGGACGAAGTCCATCTGCTGCAAACGTGACTTGGTTCAAAGGGTCCCACAACTTGTTTGTTTATATATAGAAACACTTTAGAAACTTTAGAACAACATTATAAATGTTTGAACAACATAAGAAACTTCGAACACATTGTTTGGATCCCACAACTTGTGGATATCGCCTGTGGGAGTCTTCGCAGGGTGTTGTATGGCGCAGGCACAAGGTGCATTAGGCACATAGTATGCCCTGCTTTTGCTGCTATTTGATACACCTTTCTTGACTTGAAGCGACATTGCAACTGGGTATGATCTGAACGTACTCCCAACTGGAATCTAGATGGTTTCAAGCTTCGAGCGTCAACAGTTTCAGTGCGGTGAACCATGGGTGAAAGAGAGGCGCTAGCAGACATTGATTCTTTCTCACCGCCAACTACTATATAATATTAGCACAATATTGTTCAAAGATTGAATAGGTTTTTACCGTACCCCGATAACATGGTCAATAACATGTTTTACTTGCAAATATTACCATTTGATTGATCTACCAAATGGTTTCTACATTTTCTACTTTGCTTTGCTTAGCAAATGGTTTTGCATATTCTACTTATCTAGCAAATGGTGTCGACATACTCTACTTACGAATATCTAGCTAATGGTTTCTTTGCAAGTAATATATATTATAGTTTCAAGATTTTGCGGCAGCGGCAAATAAAGAGGCCAACGCGCGCCGCAAACGCTTCCTGCTTCACCAGGTTCTATACATGAAGAATGTTGGTGGCTTGCAGGAATATAACAAGATCTTTTGTCGTCGTACTCAAGGGCGCTAGGTAGTGCCGGCAGCAAATGAGCTTGAGAGCCACAACATCCCAAAAAACATGTACAGCAAACAACATGATTCAAACACTTGAACATTCTGGATCCAGAATCATTAGACGGTGATCCGCAGCATAACACATGCCATTCCAAGCTTCTTTTGGAGCTGTGTCTTTAGCCGCTTTCCAGCCTTCCAACATTTGACTCCCATCTGCCATCCAGCACCTTGGCTGCCCTGCAACTACCAGGCGTTCTAATGCGTTCTAATGCGTTCTATGTCATTAAACAAGATCTCCTGAAGTCGGGCCCAAACACCACTTGGTGAATTCGTGTGAATTGTGCCCGATCAGTTGATCGAAAAAATGCCGGAGATGATGCACCAAAGCCATCAGCCATCAACTCCTGCCGATCCCTGCCAGTACTTAGGACTGTCAGGAATCTGGCAGGAGTTCCGGTGCAGAATGCAGGCGAGAAATCGAGAAAGGCAACAAACACACCAAACATCTCCAAATTAAATCGGGGTTTGGACCCAAATGATTTTGGCCTCCGATTCATGAACTAACAATTTCATAGCCTGCAGCAATGCCAAGGAACCATGATACGCTGACAAAACTAATCTTGGTTCGTAGATGTTCGTAGAGATTCTTGCGTAACTTAGGTGTAGATATACTTGCTGATCGTTCTCATTCTGCTCATTGGCCGGCCAAAGGGTCTCAACGATCGTTTATAATCATTATATAATATGAAAATTGCATCAAATCAACGTAGCAGTGCGTAGCAAGGTTACGTGCGTCAATGTGCATTGCCTGTCCTCTCGATAAATGCTAGCCGCGTCAAGCAGCATTCTACCCATTTCTACCCTCAGCGACTGAAGAGATTCTTGGCCCAGCCTGGGTCGAAAATCTCTGGGGCGGCTGGGACATGCTGGAACTGGTTGCATGTCAAGGTACCGATCACGCCAACCTCCTCCGGTTCACCACGCTTCCTAGGCATCAATGCGGTGAGGTGACGCATATACATTTCACAATGTGAACCCACTACAGTACAGTATTCACATCTATTCACTATGTCACTATACTCTCAAGTTCATTGATATTCTTGAACTGCGCTATTGCTGTCTGGATTGGATGCCATGACAGCCGGTGCAGCCCATGACAGCCAACACAACCAGTCTGCAATACGGCGAGAAAACCGTGGCACAACACCAAGCGCCTGGCACAAATCATCACAGGTTCCTAGCTCAGTGCAGAAATACGCAACCGTGGAAACTACATCTAAAACCTCACCAGAATTATAGGACTGCGGGTGGGAATCCTTCATCAACAATCGAAGGAAACCATCAAACTGTGATAACTGATAACTGTTCATGAAAGAATCCTCCAGCAAAGAGAAACGACCAGAAGCAGTCAATTCCCTCGATCATGCAAAATATCGCGCTACCAATATGAATCATTCATCGGCTGTGGATGGCCAGACCATCTTGCCGGCTGAATCGCAAGCAGGTTTCTTTCTGATAAATCGCTGGAGGGACTTCGGGTTGCCTGCAACGGCACCCCAGGCGACTCCATGAAAGTTGCGGAGACAAAGCTGTGGTGACTGGGCACGGCATTTTTTCATGTAACGAGCGGGTCATGTGTGGCCACACTGTTCGTCATATCAGGACATCACTTTGTTCTTCTTGAAACTCAACGCCGTGCACTTCCCAATCAAGATGATTGCCACCATGCACTTGAATTGATAGGACACGGTCACTGTGTTTTGGCATGTTTTGGCCCACAGCTATTGGCTGCATCACTGTAATCCTTAGTGCCTTAGTACCAGTGCAGTATGCCACTGGCCGAGTATCTAATAATTATATAATTATGTAAATGATTTCACTGTGAATTGCGCACCAATGTGACAGAACCTAAAGTATTTGACTCAAGCAGCGTGCATCTATTGGAAAATGCTGTAGCAGAAGTCCAAATTCATCCAAATTTACCATTTCTCGCATCGTTCAGGTCCTTACCTCCACAACTATGGACGTGCACTTTTGTCAATGCAGCTTCCGTGCAGTTCTTACTTTTGTTTTTTCAAACTTAACGCGTTTAGAGTTTGGACCAGCCGGCCCACACCTTCATACTCTTTTCTACCATATGTCCAAGTGAACATAACCACAATGGAAATCGAACCCATCGATCTATCAGATCCATGCATGCAGCGACAACAAGTGCTTGATCTCCAGCCCTGTCAAAAAAGGTCTGGACCTTCAACTTCTTTCAAGAACATCCCCACCATATCGGAAGACAATTCATGGCTGAAGCGATTCGGCTGAGCGTAGGGGTCTGTCTGTTCATATTCCTTGGCATTGGCACGGACGTGCTCGACTGACGTCGATTGACATGTCGCTGCTGGACGTGGGACAAAGACAACACAACTCATGCAATTCAAAAAAAAACGTGGATCTGAAGTGATTTGGAGAACTGACTGGAAACACCTGTCAACCTCACAGAATTCAAGGGGACTCAGGCAGAATAGTTCACAAACCTCCATGGAATAGTAAACAACTGTGTTATTTTCTCTCTCTCTCTCTCTCTCCCCCTCCCTCCCTCCCGTCGCCATCTCCAGCAGTGTTATATTCCTCTCACATAATTGGACTCGATATCTGCGCATCCCCTTCATTCCCCTTTCGTGTCTTTAGTTGACTATGGTTCTACTGAGTTCTACTACGTTCTTTTTTTAAAAGTCGGAACCAGCGGGACTTTGATTCAAACGCGTTGCGTTTGGCTCAGCTGTTGGGCTCAGCTGTCCCAACCACCACCTGAATGCTAACATGTTTATTCTTCCAAGGACGGACAGGCATGCACATTACATTTTCAATGGATTCATGCAGGATACCTGCCGCAAAATTGCGGCTATCTCTTACCAAATTCTAATGTGAATTTTTCTAGCTCGCATGTCCTGCACATCTCCCCATAGCTAAAAAGTAAATTCCAGTTGTCCCTGTTCTACTCGGTGTTCAGTTCCAAGATTCGGTCCAGGATAGGTACGAGTTCCGCGGCGGCTTGCATCGCTCTGCGGGCAGAATGCTGGGTTTTGGTGCCACGAACTCTTCCAGTTCTGGGTGCGCATCAAAATGGATCTCTTCAGGCTGACAGCTTTTCGCGTGGCAAAGCCTAGGGAGTTCGTGGTGACTTGATACATTTGATACCTTGCATGTATGGGGCGGATCCCAGGGGGACAGGAATTGGTATGTTGATTGTTGATGGTGCTGATGGAGCCCTGCAAATCCAAGCATATCCTTTTCGGATGATATCTTAAGGCCAATACCATGGTGAGGATGTGATGATGTGATTGGAACCCCAATCATATTGTCGAGGACGTTCCCAGTACCAGAAACTTGGAGATGCGGGACTGTTTCCCTCATGACAGAGCTGCCGCATCCCACCTCCATGGGAAAAACATCAGAAAACCCAGGAATGCATCTGGGATCCCAACTGCCAGCTGGTCGAGTGAAATGTATCGGCCCAATCTTCGCAGACCTGTCCACTGCATCTGCTGTCTCTTGCGCAGTAACTGTGCAAGGCCGGCTTTGTATTAACACATTAACGCATGTTCTTTGTAATGTGCTTGGTAGGTGAGTGAAATGTTTGCATACACATGCGTGATGAGCTCTGAATATGAATATGATCGAAGGAAGTTTAGAAGTCAACTTCCGACAATATGGACAGATGAAAAGCAGAGGTGAGAAGCGTCAGAGAAGAGAAGAGAAGATCAGAGAAGAGAAGGAGTCAGAAGAAAGAAGATGCAGGTGCGGGAAAAGGTAGAAAAGCCGATATTCACTGTGTTTTTTCCAATGATTTGTGGCTCTGGAGGGTCGAAAAGTAGGCTCGCTAAAGCGGCGGGTGCGGAGCCATCTGGCCAGATGAGAGATGAAAAGTTGCACGCCCTTGTGGTGCGGCGCACATTTCGAAGTCAAAATGCACAAAGCACACCATGCCCAGACCACTTTTGGACGTTGACATGTGGAAAATGTTCACGCCGTTGTGGCGCGAAGCACATTTCCAAGTCAACATGTACAAACACCTCAGCTTTGGAATACTTTTGGAAGTTGACATGTCGAAAAAGTGCACGCCGTTGCAAGTCAAAAGTGCCAAAAACTGAAGGGTACGGAGCACTTTTGGACGTTCAGATGTCGTTTTGCCTGGCAGGCGCAGGGGATTGTGTGCCTTGTGAAAAGTGAGCAAAAGGTGAAGGTTTTGTAGCAGTTTCAACACGATGGCAGGCGTGGGACATTTGAAGACGATCTGGAAAGATGCATTTCGCGTGGCAGGCGCAGTACAAGCGACGTATGAGTTAGATGTGTTAGGAGATCAGGGCGGAGATTTCCTGAGAAAAGTTGCATTTTGGAGCATGAGATCTTCAGGTTTGCTAAGATGATTTTGCGTGACAGGCGCAGCACTTCGTATGACCTGGCATCAAATTTTCGTGGCAGGCCCAGCACTTTAGACAGATGGAGTGGAAAAATCGCAAAACGCATTGGCACGAGGCCGTCAGCTCTGCACTCAACTTTCCATTTTTGAAGGAAGTCTTGCAGAATTGCTTCGTTTTTGATGTTGCCAACTATTAAGTGAGGAAGTCTCGCTGAATAGCTTCATTTTTGACGTTGTCAAGTTCAAAAATTGAGGAAGCCTCGCAGAATAGCTTCGCTTTCAAACTTGCAGATAGATAGATAGATAGATAGATAGATAGAATTAGATAGATAGATAGATAGATAGATAGATAGATACATAGATATATCGATAGATCGATAGATCGATCGATAGACAGATAGATAAACAGAAAGACAAATAGATCAATCGATATATAGATAGACAAATAGATAGGCAACTGCAACTGCACTGCACCACGCTACAACTACAACTTCAACTACAACTACACTACCTACAACTAAAACTTCAACTACACCTCAGCTACAAGAACTACAGCCACAACCACAACTACAACTTCAACTACAAAACAACTACAGCATCAACTACAATTACTACAACTACAACTACAATTACAAGTGCCACTACAACTACAACTGCAACAGCTACTACAAATACACTACAGCTGCATCTGCAACTACAGCTGCAACTGCAACTTCAGCTACACCACAGCTACTCTTCAACTAAAAAAACAACTTCAATTGCAGCTACACCACAACAACAATTGCCACGGCACTACGCTACAACTACAACTACAACTGCAATTAAACCACAACTACAACTACACTAGAACTACAACTATTGCAACTACGACAATTACTACAGTTAAGACAATTACAAATTCAACTACACTTCAACTACACTACAACTACAACTACAACTGCAGCCACAACCACAACTACAACTACAAGAGTACAACTTCAACAACATCAACCCCACTACAGCTACAACTACAACTACTGAACTACATCACACTACATCCAGGAGTTGTGAGTGAGGTGACCACTGCAACCATTGCAACCACTCCAAAAAGCACAACTCCAACCACCTTTCGGTCCATCAGTGGATTCGCTCTGCCATCCATGCATCACAACAACTCACCTCTCCTATAGTGTCCTATCCTTGAAACTTCCGCCACCGCCTTGTGCGGTACTACTGGTAAGTATATTTTTCTTGTTATACAAACATTAAAAAAAAAGTCTTCCGCACATATAAATATGAATATTTTATGTAATAATAAAAATGTATGTCAATATATTATATATCCATGCGGGTGAGCGCATGGTAAGCTAACATAGACCCTGCCAAACAGGGGGTTGGAAGAGAATTCTGTCCTCTAAAATTGGTGACCAGCTGGGGTCTATGTAACGAGGTAAACTCTATAGAAGAGCTCCAGCTGGTGGATTGTTTATGCCAACGATGTCAAGTTTATCAGTTGGGTAATTATGGTTGATGATGGATCAATTTTTCTACAAAATTATCCCACTCACACATTGGTCATCCATGTTGGTCGTACCAGTACCATCATTATTGATTTCCCTTTGCGACAATCAACCTCCGAGTATATTGTATAACCATAATTGACCATAGTCATATGAAACAAACATAGTCGAATATCAATATCAACCAACATCAACCAACATCAACCAGAATTTTGGGCTGATACCGGATGATACCATTCGTATCCCACATGCCTGTATATGCCTGTAGTTTTCCTGGCGCCATGACGGCAACATGACCGCACCTCCGGTTTGACTGGTGGCACGCACGTAAGACGGATGCCAGGACCCGAACCTCACCGTCCGGATCACCAAGGTGGTTGAGAATGGGTTGAAACTGACCAAAATTACGAAATATGTTTTGAACATGTTTAGAACGAATCGGTGATATGCCCGGAATATCCCCAAGAGCAAATGCGAAGGGAACGCGTGAAAGATCGTGAAAGCACTCAAGTTTAATCGACCCATCCTGGAACCTCCCGGAACCTCCGAAGGCCAGAGCCGGCACAAGAAGCCACACTGGGCTGAGACCCCTATGCCAAATGCTGTTGGGGAATGAGAACTTTTTGAGATATATAGTTTTACGATGTCTTTGTAGTAATTCTAGCGTATTAGTCATGCATCCAGTTTTTGGGTGCCCAACGCTGTGACAAAGACGCGCTTGCCCTCGGCCACGATCCCAGCAAACTTGACAAGTGACTCTTGCCCATGCCAGGAACCATTGCTTCCCGATTCAGGCGATTGCTTGTGCGCGTCCGAAAATTTCATGAGCCAAACATACTGCCATGGTTATCATGGTTGGGGTATGGTACCTTTGACGGGAATCCAACGCGTCAATCCAGGTTCACGTTGATGTCAAAAGATTACTGAGGATTCACTGGCACGTCGAACATTAGCAACCTGAAATTGTCTATTGCGTTGCTGTTCCCTGACAAAAGGTCCCATCATGTAGTCTCTCTAACTTCTCTCACTTGCTGCTTTGCCTTGCCCTGTCTTCCAAGTGTGGTTTCGGGTTCCCCCCACCCTCTGGTTTCCACATTTGTTGAGCTGGTTCAACTCATCGATAATTATTGCATCAAATTGTTGCCCCTGTCTCTAATTATCTATCAGATTATCGTCGCTGAATCACCAATGTGTTGTTGCAAAACTCGATCAACGTCGAGTACATCCCAGAGTCCGCAGGTCAATCATCAAATTCCGATGTTAAATTTACATTTGACATGGCATGGCATTTCCCTATTCTCAAACTTGGCGCCATGTTTGATGACCTCTGTGGCCAACATCGCAGTGTCGCAGTCCAAAACCTCAGCGCGGTTTTGCAGCAGCCAAAACTGGGGAGTGGGGACAATCAACATCCAACATCACAAAATAAAACAAAACAATGCGGTTGGCAAATATATAGGACCTATATATAATATGTGTATATACTGTATACTATATGTACAACATTTGCATAACTGAGCAGCATTTAAAGTTCAGGTGGTCACAGGGTCCCTGACTTAAAAACTGCACCAGGCAGGGGCGAAGGTTGAATCTTGAAAAAATTGAAACCCCGTGGGCTGTTTTTGTTGCATGGTGCCATTGGAAAAAACATGTCAAGTCCGTCCCCTTGAGTCTCCTTATGCCAAACCCAACAATGTATTTGTTTAAAAGAACGCTTGATTAAAGTTCCGTGATTTTTCAGAGTCCGCATGCTGAAGGATGTCTAAGGATTCATTTGTTTAAGGAACTTGCATGACCTATGCCTATGCATCCATTTTGGTGCACAGTTGGGCAAAAGGCTAGAAAAGTTCCTCAAGGCAGCTCATGTGTGGATCATGTCACTGCGGAATCAGGTGATGTGGGTGACGAGACCTCCCTGTAGAATCAACACTTAAAGGTTGTTGTTGAAACTTCGAAATGTGCGTTCTCGGATGCCATAGGATCCATAGGGGTGTCCGTGTCATGCAAACTTGCCATGATTCTACTTGCAAATCATGAGCCTTGAACCTATAGTTTGAAGCCAGACCAACGTACTTCTATCATTTTATTGGGAAACATGCAGGCAAATTAACTACCAGGTGGGCAAACAAAAATTGAAGTCGCTGAGATTTCATCCAGGCCAATGACGCGAAAGCCATAATATCCCACCGCCCAGAAGTTGCTGTGGAGAATCTGAAGGTCCAATCCGCGCTTGGCAGCAGTGGCAGCCTGTAAACCTCAGATGTTTGAAGTCCCGCATAGCCTATGGAAGCGCCTAACAAAAACATTACGAAACACATGTCAAGTAAACAAATCAAACATATCCATCTTCCATACAGGCATACAAAAGGCGTTCAATAGTTTTTATTATCGACTGGCAAGAGCAGCGTGAAACGGGTCAGTGTTAGCAAACTATTGAACAAACACAAACTTTATCCAAGATCCTCATGGTTGCAATTGCCCGGCTCAAAACACATGTCTCTGGGGCTGGGCAAATGTTTTGATTTCTTAAACGGTCTTGAACTCTAAACCCATTTTGGGGATGATTCCTCCTACTAACGGTCACTATTCTGAGGGTGTTGCGAGGTAACCATGATGTATCCAGATTAGAGGATATCACCATCATCCGACCTGTTCCATGATTCAGCCATGCTGCGAGCTGCACAATGCCATGGTGGATCGAAGACCGCCCAGGCCCAGACTCCCAGAGCCAGCTGACGACAGGATGCATCAGGATGCACAGTCGACAACTTTTGGTGATCTGCAGGATACGTCATGATATTTCATTAGATCATATTGTATAGAATATATTAGATCAAACATGATTTCACATTCCTTTCCTGACCTTGATGGGGAAACACAGCAACCACTAGTGAACCACTAGTAAGGGCCCATTAACCATCTACATCCATCTACAGTATCATGGGGGGGTTCTTCACCTTTTGGCAGAATACCCAGGACATTATCATTCAATGATGTTCAATGCATATATGTAACTATACTGTATCAGCGGGCGACAGGCGGCCTTGTGTTTTTAGGTCATTGCTTTCCCGCAAAGATGGCGCATTGATGTTTGTGTGCAAGCATTGCTCATGCGACAGTCAAATGCGCCTGCCACATAGCCTGTAATTCCGTAGAATCTAACAGCCTGCAGGACCGAGAAATTGACCTATCTCTCTCTCTCTCTCACACTCTCTCTCTCTATCCATCGCTGTCAGAAATTCACCCATGGTCCATGGTGTTCCTGAAAATTGCGACCTTCCACGAAATGTTACCCCAGTTGGTGCGATTATTGCGTTGCGTCAATAGCTAGTGGTAGCTGCATCGTCGCGCAATCGCCCTGTTTTGCTGAGTGGCGCAGATCTGGACACTGAGAAAACTTCGACGCCAATGGCACGAACAGGACATCCCTGACACAATCACGCCTTGGAACATATTTTGGAACAGCGGCACACACACACACGTACTACTGTCGTTGCGAATTCTGTTGTGGAATGCATCTTACGTGCAAAAACAATCCAGTTACACCTGACAGGAATGGGTCGGTGAGGGGACCCGGAAAACATTGAGAAGCTACCATCGCCATAGCCAGAAAGTTGTGCCAACTCGTATCAGGAAATCAAACTGGTTGACTCAAATTTATGGGAATTCGACTTGCCGGTTTTTGGCTTGGCCCGATGCCATTCACACGCACTGACTGGACGTTACGAAAATGAAGTGACATGGAAACAGACCCTGAACAACAGGTAATCACAACTATGCAAGCGCGCTACTGGACGTCTCCAGTGATATCCTGAGGACACTGCAGAGAGCTTTGTTAAGTGGAGCTCTGCAGTCCTGCCCCACTCCCCTGCAAATTTGAATACCAATGATGACCAATACCTGAAATTTGAAGTGTTAAAGAACACTCGAAAAGTTAGAAGTTTTACATCTCTTCAGGTAGTTCACACACACGCCCCGCTGCCGCGGGGCTTTTTCGGAAGATGCCAAGGCTGGAAACGGATCGTACTGATCAAAATGCCAGTCACTTGCACATGATGAGCAAACGAGCTACTCAGCTACTCACTTGAGTTCGAAGTGCTGTGACCGTCGCGAAGTTCAGAAGACGTAGCACCTCGTTGAGCAAGCATGTTCGCCAAGTTTGCCAAATGGCCCGAGAGAGGAAGGCAAGACCTCCATGATTCAGGGAGTCAGAAGTCAAAGGTGCTGACCCCGACGAAGCAGAGGACGCCACAGTCAGAGCATGATCGAAGGATGGAGTCATTACCTTCAGGGTCCTGGCTCAGGATGCTGTGTAGCAGCCAAGCGAACTGGGTGATCCGGGCAGGAGGTTGGGATCGGTCGGTCAAAGGTGGAGTCATCTCAGTTGACTCGGGCATATCATCCGGATTGTAGACGTGGTAAGGATGGAAATCTTTTCCGGTAAATCAAAGTGACGGCGCCAGTAGCTGGCTAATTGAGCCGATTGGTGCCAGTCATCAACAATAAGAAGCCCATTTCGATCACGAACATGACCATGATTCCAAAAAGGAATTGTTCCAAAGACCGGACACGAGAGTGTCCAGAGGCGTCAACCTCTTCAACCATCAGTTCAGGGGTCCTGTTGCCGTACTTGTAGACTTTGAAGGTGTGGGTGTGAACAATGCGCTGACGCCATTGAGTTTGTTGGAAAGGGGAGTGAAAGTAGAATTTTGGGGTTGGGGAGAAAGAAGGCAAAGGCATGTGTGCAAGAAGCCCGTTGTCAAAGTCTGTGCCATGCTCCGAAGCCATACGAAGATGCGGAGGAAAAAACAAATTAGCCATGGTGGAAGCACGCTTAGTCATATTGAAAGCTGAAGTGGCAAAGGGGCATGGACAACGAGGTCCGAAAACTGTTGAAAAAACGGAAGAAACAAAGAAAAAGCCAGCTGACCGGACAAAATTGTTTTCCCGAGTAATCAGCTTATGGCAGGTAGCCAGCAGGAAGTGCTTTGTGACACGTGAGCTGAAATCGGTAAAAGGCATGAGAGGCAACAAAGGTCCCGTATCTTGTTGACGGCACCAATGAGGGCGATGAATGCTAAGAAGATAACAAAGGTTGTTAGTATATGTTCAGGAGAAAGGTCTCCAGCGAAGGTCCAGCTCGTCTGGGCCAATCTGAACATCCGGAGAAATTGAGATGTGGTCACACTAATCTCAGCAAGAAGCTCCGGTACCGTCACACGAAGGAGTCTTTGGTCAGGCGCCGTACGTGTAGATGGCTCTTTCTTCAGTGGCGGTCAGGGCAGGAAGAACATCCTGACGGGTAACAGGCATAGCATTCGAACCACAAAGTTCTTCTGCAACATGACGGACCGAGTCGAAGGAAATGAGGACTAAAACTGGCCTCAAGCGTCGAGTGCTAGGTGTCGTATCCGGATGGGATGGCATGCCGAAGAAGTCGTCATGGGCTAGGGTGTTGTTAAGGGCACTCTGTGCACGAGAGCGAGAACGGGCCATAGCTTATGAACAGAGAGAAGCACAAAGTTGAGAGGCAACGAACTAAGAGCCAAGAGGAAGAACAGCACAAATCAGGAACGCAACGACACAAAAATTGATTGAGGAATAAATGAAGGAGAAACCTGACCGCATCGACAAGCGGTGTTTTGTTCCCGAAGTGCAAAGAGGTCTAATCCTCGGCCCCATTGTCGGCACGAGGCAACAGGTCTGATCTAGTATTTTTCAGCCAGTGCCAGCGTGCTTTGCTCATGAAGTCTGAATCAGGCAGAGC